TTTGGCTCTATGTAGGAGGACTGTATTCATCTTGGCTAGACCCAAAGACTGCCATTCATTATTCACGCTTCTTCCTTAGAAATCCAACATGGTGCCATCTCAGGCTGTGGATGAGAATGCAGCCAGTTCCTCTCCTAACGACGCAACAAAGGTAAATTGGAGTTTCAGTGTCAGATTGTTTTAGTTGTAGACTGAGGTGCTAGTTATTAGGCAGTATTGAGGTATGTGGGTCCTTGGTTATCTTGACCAAGTAAGATGCACGCATTAGGAGGACTGAGATTTGAAACAGGAAGTATAAACAACTGAGTTCTACCTACAAGTGCGCCCACACACACGGGTCCTGTGTATTACTCAACTGGACAGGTCCAGACATTAGGAGGACCGAGTTTCGAAATGAATTCAGATCAATGAGAGTTACTCTGGCAATTGTGCATACACACACGGGTCCTGTGTATTACTCAACTGGACAGGTCCAGACATTAGGAGGACTGTATTCATCTTGGCTAGACCCAAAGACTGCCATTCATTATTCACGCTTCTTCCTTAGAAATCCAACATGGTGCCATCTCAGGCTGTGGATGAGAATGCAGCCAGTTCCTCTCCTAACGACGCAACAAAGGTAAATTGGAGTTTCAGTGTCAGATTGTTTTAGTTGTAGACTGAGGTGCTAGTTATTAGGCAGTATTGAGGTATGTGGGTCCTTGGTTATCTTGACCAAGTAAGATGCACGCATTAGGAGGACTGAGATTTGAAACAGGAAGTATAAACAACTGAGTTCTACCTACAAGTGCGCCCACACACACGGGTCCTGTGTATTACTCAACTGGACAGGTCCAGACATTAGGAGGACCGAGTTTAGAAATGAATTCAGATCAATGAGAGTTACTCTGGCAATTGTGCATACACACACGGGTCCTGTGTATTACTCAACTGGACAGGTCCAGACATTAGGAGGACTGTATTCATCTTGGCTAGACCCAAAGACTGCCATTCATTATTCACGCTTCTTCCTTAGAAATCCAACATGGTGCCATCTCAGGCTGTGGATGAGAATGCAGCCAGTTCCTCTCCTAACGACGCAACAAAGGTAAATTGGAGTTTCAGTGTCAGATTGTTTTAGTTGTAGACTGAGGTGCTAGTTATTAGGCAGTATTGAGGTATGTGGGTCCTTGGTTATCTTGACCAAGTAAGATGCACGCATTAGGAGGACTGAGATTTGAAACAAGAAGTATGAAACCCCAACCCTAAATCTGGTTTGCATAAAGACGTAGTTCTCGGCTTGGTTGAAATGAACTCTGATGTAGTTAGATCGCATATTTGAATTTCAGCTGATCAAGGAGCAAGAATGAAGCTTACTATAGGAAGGAGCATGTAAATACAACCGAAACAATCGCTAAACTCTTTCCTGTTAATGCTAAGCACATTTATGTAACATTGTTGTGTAAAGGCCATCCGTTATGTCTTGATGGATTCATGACTTCATGATTTAATTATACTTTTTTACACTCCCAGTCAAAACTTTGGACACATCTTCTCATTTCAGAAAGAACAAATTGTAAGTCTAATCTTTTTTGGGTGTTGTGGGTCCACAATGAATTTTCTTTTCATTGTGGTTTTGTAATATATACCATAATATAAAACCTAGAAGAACAAATTGTTTTGAAAATTGATCTATATACAGCAGGTATTTTTCCCTTTAAATTTTGCATTGCAAAAGTTACAAAAATTGATTTAATAGTTTTAGTAACACTTGAACCTGTTTTTTTTTTTTTTTTCTTCCGTCCTTAACTCCTTTTTAAAGAGGAACCAAAACAACTATTTGGTTGTGATATTTTACATCACAAAAGTATGAATTTTGTTTTTGATTACACTGTTTTTTTTTTTGTTTTTTTTTACCAAACAGGACTGCGATCATGATCTAGTCCCTGACGAAATGTCAAGTTTAGAAAAATGTTTTGCATGTGGAGGACCTTTTTCGCCTCTGAAATGGAGTGGTGTGAGATGTGAAGGTAATTATTTAATTATGGAAGGTTGGGTACATTAGAATATCTTAAATATGATCCATAAGGAACACTATAAAAACTAATCCATAAGTAAATATGATATATGTTCATAATGAACCTTTTACATCTGCACTTTTTACATATTTACTTACCATGTCATTATTAAAGCTGCTATACCCAATTTGCAAAAACAAGTTAGCTTAACATATTTTTTTTTCATGTTCATAACAACATTTTAACAAAGCATAGCTATAAATGTTGTTTGGAGATTAAAGAAAAAAAAATGAAGTGGTTCTGTTGCATTTGTCTAAAACCATCAGCCAATAACATGGCTCAGTCCAGAAAAACGATAGAACAGTCTTTCCTGACTCCTTAAATTCTACATTAACATGGCTCCACCACACTATGCACTGGCCTGTTTAGCAGCAAAGCACACCAGGGGGTGTGGCCTATGGATAATATCCAATGGGAGGGGGGAGCCTTCTTGACCGTGTTTATGCTTCCATCTAGCCTGTTTTTTTAAATTGGGGAAAGCGGCTTTAACTACCTTTCTTTTATTAACTTAATTTTTCTCTGTCTAGTTTGCTACCAGTCCTGGCACAAAAGATGTTATGTTAGCCACAAGGTGAACCTCACTGAACCTCTTCCAGAGGTAAGTGTTTTTGCAGAATTCTTCTCAGTAAAATATGTAAGGTAAACAAAGTCTTACTTTGTGTTTTTGATTGTTATTAGGTCTTTAGTGAAGATAGTTCAAGTGAGGGGGCTTCATCAGAAGAGGAATATGTGCCAGATTCTATAGCTGACTCAGACAGCTCATGGGACAACAAATCAGAGCCTTTAAATATAAGTTGCAAACAAGTACAGAACTCTGAGATCTCCAGCAGTCAATCTGCTTGCAAAACGAAAAGACCTCGCCTAGAAAGTTTTTTAGAGAGCGTAGGACAAAGAATTTCAGAAGATGCCGAATCAATATCTGAAGATGGAATTGGCACAAGACAGCTCGACATATCAGGGGTTATTGCCACAGCAGAAAAGTCTGATGCTGAAGGCATTGTTGATGACTCTAATACTACGGCTGAAGATTCCTTAAAAACATCCTCCTCACTAAGAAACAAAACATACTGCTACATTTGTGGAAAACTACAGACAAAGTTTACACGTCATTTAAAAACTCATGAGAAATCACATGCAGATGTTGCTCGAGTTTTAAGTCTTCCCAAGAAGTCCAAAGACCGTTTGAAAATGCTTTCTAAGCTGCGAAACAAAGGAAACCACAGACATAACTCGGAGGTCATCGCAAGTGGGATTGGATCATTAAAAACCAGACGCACATCAAAAAAACCCTACAAAGGAAAAGACTATATTCACTGCATTTATTGCGAGGCATTATATCTTAAAAGAGATCTTTGGAGACATGTTCGTAAATGTTCTTCAAAACCAGTGGAGGCCAATTCAGAGGGGGGACGAAAAAAGGTCTTGTCCCTGGCCTGTATGAGTGAGTCAGCTCTGTGTCAGCAAGTTTCCCCCGGTGTTTGGAAGATATTAGCTGTCATGAAAGATGATGAAATAACTTCTACTGTGCGAAGTGACTTCTCTATTCTTCAGCTTGCTCAATCATTCTTTAACAAACATGGGAAAGATCCCACCAAATTTGACTACATTCGCCAGACACTCCGAGAATGTGGAAGACTTCTGCTCACACTTCGGAAAGAATGCTCAATACACACTTTTGAGGATGCTGTAAGACCTGCAAATTTCAATGTGGTTATCAAAGCTGTTAAGAAGGTGTGTGGGTATGATGAAGAAAAGAACTGCTACTCGACTCCAAGCCTTGCTTTAAAGTTGGGACACTCACTGCAGAAAGTCTGTGATATTATACATTGCAGAGCACTGATGGCAGAAGACAGTGCACTGATAAAGTCAACCCAGAGTTTCAAAACCCTTTATGCTACAAAGTGGTCAGAACTCATCTCCCATACTGCATTAACCACACTAAACGAGCGGCACTTCAACAAGCCTTCCACACTTCCTTTCACAGAAGATGTTCAGCGTCTTCATAGACATCTGGAGAAGACTACAGAACAAGCACTGAAGGACTTGGAAGAGCATAGTTCACCAAAATCATACAGTGAACTTTGTAAAGCTACCATGGCAAATGTAATACTATTTAACAGGAGAAGAGGGGGAGAAATTTCAAAGATGACACTGAATGGCTTCCAGGAGAGAGACACTAGTACCCTGCACAAGGATGTTGCAATTGGACTGACAAAATTTGAACTTTACCTTTGTCAACACTTCAGTCGTGTAGAATTGAGGGGTAAACGAGGACGCAAGGTTGCAGTGCTACTTTCACCAGACATGGTGAATGCCATAACACGGCTGACAGAGAAAAGACAAGACTGTGGTGTTCTGGCAGAAAACATATTCCTGTTTGCCAGACCTCATTGTCTGACTCCCTACAGAGGACAGGACTGTTTGAGGATTTATGCAACTGAATGTGGGGCTGAAAACCCCGAACACCTACGTTCAACGCAGTTGCGCAAACATGTCGCAACTTTGTCTCAGATCTTAAACCTCAAGAATCACGAGTTAGACCAAGTTGCCAACTTCCTAGGTCATGATATTCGTGTTCATCGCGAATATTATAGACTTCCAGAGGCTACTACCCAGCTTGCCAAAATATCCAAACTACTGATTGCCATGGAGAAAGGGTCTCTCAAAAGCCTTCAAGGCAAAACACTTGGAGAGATTGAAATCGAAGGTAAAGTGGTGTTAAGGTTAAGAATTATACACGTTTCCTGCACTATAACCTTATAATTCATTAAGACAATCTTTTATTTTGTTAGATAACCTACAGTTGACAGATTCAAGTGAAGAAAGTGAGGTCGGAGCGGAGCGTGAGGAGGTCGGAGCGGAGCGTGAGGAGGTCGGAGCGGAGCGTGAGGAGGTCGGAGCGGAGCGTGAGGAGGTCGGAGCGGAGCGTGAGGAGGTCGGAGCGGAGCGTGAGGAGGTCGGAGCGGAGCGTGAGGAGGTCGGAGCGGAGCGTGAGGTCAATGAAGGAAATCTTGTATATCCACAGATTGGTAAGTACAATGTGATTAGTCTCAACTTTGTTCAATTTATGAAATCACATGACTAATAGACTTTATTACAGATTCTATAGATACTAGAATGATGAAGAAAGTTGTCAAGGAACCTCCAGGTATGTGTTTGTCATCATTTATTGAAGCTTTTACCTTTGTAACTACTTCCTAGACACTTTTGCTATCTTTGCTATCTTTATGTAAAAAAAAAAAAAAGATAATTCATTACTATCATTTTTCCAGTGATTGTTACCTTTGTCCAAATGGTAATTTAAAGAAAGTCAAGGATCTTTCTAAAGACCAGCTCAACAGAATAGAAAGGTCAGTTTTGGAGGATGGTCAGGTAGGAAATGCTAGTTTGAACAGGTGATTTTGAGCTGTGATTTAAAGTTCTAGAGAGAATCTAATGAGCAGAGGAAGTTCCAGAGGGTGCAATTAGCAGTGGCAAAGGATTGTACCCTCAGATTTATGATTTTGATGATGGGGGTAAGGAGGTTAGTGTTAGCAGTGTTGTGGGAGAGTGACAGTAAAGACAATCCCTCAGGGTGGCGGGGGCGAGGTTGTTGAAGGCTTAAAAGTTGATTAGGAGTTTGCACTCAATACTATAGTCAGTGTGCAGCCAGTAATGTTCTTTTTAGGATGTGGTGATATAGTCTCTAGAGTGAGTGCAGTAGAGTAAGGGGGCAGCAGAGTTCTTAATAGATTGCAGTTCTTGGAGGTGAGTTTGGGGAAAGCAAAGATGCTGGGATTCTTTTTGAGGGTGGAGAGAATGGATAGGATTAGGAAGAACAATATCATTGGGACTGCACATGTTGGAAAAAATGTCTACATTGTTCTACATTGGCCAGGTTGAGGTTGTGTTGGGCATGTGCAAACAAGGGACAGTGAGGAAGGTTTGTTGAAGGATGTTAGAAAGGAAGCTGCCCTGCAGGAGACAGAAGGAGATGAGATTAATCAAGAGAGATGAAAATAGTTGGTGTGTGGAGGGCTGATCTACTACTCTTTATTTACCTGGTTTGCGCTTCTGAAGTATTCCCTCTACGCTCTCATCCTCTTTCTACAGTAAATCAGTGGTGAGTGGAAAGTTGACCAGTCACCGGAGTAGTGATGGGTCGTTCGCGAACGAAATGGCTCTTAGAGCTGGTTCTTTGAAGTGAACGATGCGAGCCGGCTCCTTATTGGGAGCCGTGGATTTTTTTTTTTTACTTTCTCTTGCCCTCTCTCTCACTTTTTTCGCTGCACGTCAGCCTTGTGTTTGCGCTGAGTAGAGACGGGAGGGGCGCAAACAGAGCCTTGCGTTTGCACCCCTCCCGCCTCTGAGCAGAGGGAGGAGCTAGGGGCGGTAGTTACACTCGCAACAGCAGTAGCACACGAAAAGAGCAGCAGGGAGAGAGAGAGAGAAAGAGAGCCGGGAGCAACAACAAGAGACAATGTCGTCACATTAGAAAGGTGAAGTAAAGAAAATGAGTGACACCAAGAAAAGAAGCAAAATCTAGAACCATTTAAATTTTACTGACAATACATAGGCAGAGTGTAGAGTCTGCAAGAAAAGGATATCATATAGAGCCGGTGCACGGGCACCTGAAAACTGTCCACTCATCAGTGCGATGGGAAGATAAAACACAGTGAATTAAGTGTGATATAAGTGAAGCTGCCAGTGTGTCTACCCACTGAGCTGAGCACTGGGCACTTGGTATTTTTAAATTTAAAGTTTAAATTTTAAAAGTTAAATTGTAAATGGTAGGTTTTTGTATTTTATAATTTATTTTTTAAATTTTATGTGGAGTGAATAAATAAAAGCAGATTTATATAATGAACATATATACATAGAAAACACGTTTTTAAACATTAGTAATTCATTTTGTGCATAATTTTATATTGTTGTTAATAATAAATGAATGAAAGCAACAAAATAACCTGAAGAGCCGGTTCGGGAGCCGAAAGAGCCGGCTCTTTTTAGTGAGCCGAGCCGAGAGAGCCGGATCTCTAAAAAGAGCCGGAAATCCCATCACTACACCGGAGTCTTGTTTGGAGAAAAATTCAGCCTTGTATCTTTTAATATCAGCTGTAATAGCTCTAGCCATATTCCACATTCACATGTGTCACCTTAAACTAAAAGTCATAGTTGCGACTCTGGATTTATCTTAGAAACCATATTCAAGATTTCAAGGTCCATTAGTTGCTTGACCACATTCAGGAGCATTTGACATTACATTATAAGAGATTTAATACAACAAATATATGCTTACTGTTTTGTTTTGTTTTTCAGCACAAAGTAAAAATGGAGCGGGTAAGGTCATTGAACCCAACAGAATACTAAACAAGGAGATGAAGCCAAGCAGTAAGAAGAAAACAAATAAACAATCTGGTAAATGGTGACATGCATACAAAAGTCACTTAAGCACAAATGTAAACTTCATGCATTTTTGAACCCAGTTATCCACACCACCCAAGCCAGTATGGTGACTATGCTCATCTTTCTGCCAGGGACCGTACCATAATTCTACAACTTGGTTAGACAATTATATTAACCTACTTGATAAGGTAAAACATAAATCACATTCAATGTGGAACAATACCTTGTATTAAGTAATGGGATAAATGTTTAAATTACTTTCCCTATGCCTGTTTTAATCTGTAATACATTTAAATACTTATCATTTTCAAAACAGCAATGCACCAAAACAATTAATAAACAAAGCAATGAGAACATATTATGATTTGGGTTTTTAATTTTGAGGATTCCTCAACCATTGGGCTTCTACATTATCTCCATACTCTGAACATCATCTTATTCCCATAGGCAGAATCTGGATAATATTGGAAAATTTGGGCTGGTTTGGCTAATTGTGGGCTGTAACCTGAACGTCTTGAAGAAAATTATGTTCACTGAAAAAACCTGAAGGCCCACCTCATGGTCAGGCAGGGTCAACCCTTCTTTTTAAATAAACATTTGAGTCAGACAGTTATATATGAAATGTTTGAGTATATGTTATACATTTCAAATTATTACAATATCATGCTATACATGTTTTTTGTTGTATAACGGTGTGTGGAATAAAATGCTCTCCATCCATAGTGATTTGCCATAGCTATTTATTGGAATTCTGACTTAATGTGGGCTACCTTTCAGAATTTTACATTTAAATAAATGTATTCATCCATTGTAATAAGTATTTAAACAGTCAGCATTACAGGATTTATACCAAAGAAACACTGTTACAACAAATTCACCTTAAAGGGGACATATTATGCAAAACCCACTTTTTTTTGTTGCTTTTGTATGTATATTTGGTTATGAATTGCCTCCCGACTCCTTAAGTGTAGGTTTTCAACAACTAAAAAAGGAGCTCTTTTAGGTCCCAGGTAGTGTATTTTGCACAATCCAGCATAATCACAGCCTCAGCACCTGTCCTCGTGGACAATGCAAAGGCCGTCTTTGGGCTGTGTAGACTAAACACTAACTGTTCTTAGCAGGGCTGTAAAACTAGTGTGTGCAGAACTCAATTCTTCGGCTTATTTGAAGGAAGCCGATTATCGCCATTATATTTTTGCATCCTACAACCATGTCAACTCACACAATTGAGCATAATACGTCCCCTTTAATTTAAAAATTGTTTAAAAAGTAGTTTGTTTACATTTATTTTTTTCTGCTTCTAGCTTCTCTGGAAAATGCAAGGAGGGTCAAAAAGCATCCTTGGTCTCCCACGGAGGTTGCTGCGATAATGAAGTATTTTGGCGAACATATCAAAAAAGGAAAACTGGCCACTATTATCGAATGCCAGCAATGCAAAACTGCAGAAGATCCTG